CCACCACTGTGCCCATAAGGGCACATGGCAGTCCTTAATTAGTGCCCCCGGGCAGAAATCGCTCACCGAGGGCGACCCAAAAAAAGGTTGTCGGTGGCACTTCCCGGAATCTCCTCCACATGATGACAAGGTCTTGCCTCTGGCCACGGGAGCCGAGATCGAGACGAAGAAGGACATCTCTTTGCGCGTGTTCCATTACGCTGCCCCTCGCTTCCCAGTGACACACTTTTCCCTTCGAAAACAAGGTTTTGACGGAATTATCCATGAAGGTAAGGCCTCATGTCTGCGTGGAGGCCAAGAGATCCATTAAGCGAGCGTGGGTTGTCTGCCCACATTTCTTCAACAAGCACTGGATGCTCCCGAGGAGTGCGCTTCCCCCCCCCTTGCGAGCTCAGCCTGGATTTTATTTATTAATTGGCCAGTGCGTGCTTCACAGTAAACTGGGCGAAAAAGCCACAGTCGCTGCCAGAAGGAAGCACAGGAGAGAGAGAGAGACAGAGAGAGGATGCTTCACCCTTTTCTTAAGGCCGACGGCGGAAGGTGCCAAGTGTTGCCTGCGTGTGATCAAAAAGGTTGTTGTGATGAATGCATGTGCGTGGGTTTTAGACACTGACGAAGATTAATTGGATGTATTTGGCGTTTGGGGTGCGTTTTTCTCCTCCCTGGATTTTCCTCTCTCTCTCCTCCAGACACTTTGCAAAACAACTTCGAACAAGGATCATTGATAAGGAAAACTGACCCCAAAGTTAATTGAAACATGCAAATGATCAGTTACCTTACATACCTCCGAGCTTGTGCTAGAGACCGCAACATGAACACAATTGCTTTCCTGTTTCCCCCGGAGACCTAAGGTGAATGATGACACACGTAACCACACATTCCCTCTTATTTATTTATTAAAAGAGGCATTATTTTCCCACCGGAAGGAAAGGGGGGTGGGGAAGGAATAACGTATAGGATTTATATGTTTACCAAAAAGGCTGTTGGCTGCATGCGCTTCACCGTTAATCTGATTTCCTGAAAGACTATTTCCTGCCCAAATAGGCTATTAGCTGGGGCTGACCTTTAGGTTTTTATTAGAAGCATTTCAAAATTAGCAGTTTATGGAGATAGAAAGAAAGACGTTTCATTAAAAAGGGAAGGACGACAGACATAATCTGGAAAGACAAGTCCAGAGACGCTGTTTTTAAACTTAGAACTGCTGGAGAACTCAATGGTTTAGGTCTCTGGGTTGGGAGTTCGATTCCCCCCACTGGACCTCCCTGACAAGGGCTGGATCTGATGATCTATAGGGTCCCTTCCAGCTCGGCAGTTCTAGTGCCATCATCATCATTATTGCATCAGCCACAATTCTAGTAAGGCTTACGTACGGCTTGTGTCACTTAGAGGAGCTCAAGTTTCAACTGTGCGCCTGGCCATGCGCCCAATTGCACAACCAAGAGGTGCCATGTCGATCAACCACAATTAGCCATGAAACGGATGGCCACGACAGATTATATAAATGTTAATGCAAACACCAAGAGGTGTAGTAAGAAAAAGATGAGGTATCAAAAAGGTTGCATGGGGCAGACAAGGCTTTAGGGTGTCCGGTGGGTACTAATTTTGGGCATGCAACACTGGACCCAAATGTTAGCTTGGACAGCCCATTCCAAACATGTAATTCTATTGCAACATTTCTTCTGCTTTTTCTGGTCTGTTTTTAGATTACTAGAAAGGAGGGTAGTGGTAAAATATGAGGTTCATCACGAGAGTTCCCACCGCCATTAAGATGTCCAGTGGTTGAGCTTTTTTCAAGGGCTGCCCAGTCTTAAGCCTGAATGAAAGTCCCAAAAAACACAATTCTATTTATATCCCATCTTTCTCATAAAGTAGGGACCAAAAGTGGCATACAGAATATTTTAAAGGCAAAAGTGTCTTTTTGCTTAGTTCTTTTTGGAGCTGATGGTTAAATTGTCACCCTTGGTATCCACCCCCAAGAAATTAGGGGGTGAATCCACAGCTGAGGCCAATCAGTATAGCTGTTTCCATTGGCCTTTGGTAGAGCTAATGGTCTGAATTGTGGGAGGAAGTCTTTTATTGAAACCGGAGGGGTCTTCATCGTCTATTTGAAATCTCAAGCTACTACGGCTCACTAAAAATGTGGAAGGGAAGACATTTCCTCTGCAGCGATTGTGAGGACTGCAGCCTCCTATATTGCTTCAGGAACACGCAAAATAAGAACCCATAACAAAGCCTGGAAAGTGGTAGGTGGTGACTCCAATTTCAGAGGTGTTGCAATTCCATTCCAGCTTTTCATTTTTACTGGGATCTGTCCACAGTGCTGAATGCTGCCCCTCACATAGGTTCCACACCTTAGATACCATATTTTTCTGTGTACAAGACTATACTTTTGTCTAAAATCTTTGGACTAAAAATTGAGGGTCGTCTTATACACGGAAGTAAGCTGAGGAGAGAACAAAAACAAGTGGAGACGAAAGCAGGGATCAAAGCGATCCTGCAGCGCTTTGATCCCTTTCCCCCTACACTTGCTAAGCCCCACTTAATTTCTTAATTTTGGCTTAGAAAAGTGGGGGTGTCTTATACATGGGGGTGTCTTAAACACCGAAAAATGCGGTAACTACTGTGGCAGACCAAGACCTGAAGTAGAACCTGGCTCTCAGGCATCAAAGGGTCGTATTTGGCTCGTTGGCTGCAACTTGCCGACCCCTTCTTTAATGGACTGTTCAATGGCTTGTCCAGTTCCACAGACTGCCACGTCATTTGACATCCTGCCACTTGAGGGGAGAAAATGCCACCCACATCTTGTTTCATGAAAGCAAAAAGTTTATTCATGGTTTGAAACTACATAGAACTACCACGAGGAAGACTCTTCAATTCAAGGTGTAATCCAGTTAAGAAAGTAACACGAAACGGTTTAATACATTAGAATCACTGTCACAAATTATTTTTTTTCATTGAGTCAATCAGCTTCAGAATCGCATACAATATAAAAGAGAGGAGGGGGAAGAATATAACAA